GTCATGGGGCAATCTCGGAAGGCCTCAGGGCCATCTTCGGCCGATCTTGGGTCGAAAAAGCGAAAACCCAAACACCGATGACACACCTAAGGGCCATCTGCGTTTTTGCCTCCTCATGCCGTCTTGGGTGTCCTTTTTGGCCGTCGTGGGGGGGCTTGGGCCGTCTTGGGGCCCTCTTGGGTCCTCTTTGGTGCATCTGGGGGCCCTCTGGGGGCTGCCTTGGAAGCCTCTCAAGACCTAACTTGGGCCGTCCTGGGGCCCCCTGTGGGGCCTCTTGAGTCGTCTTTGGGCGAATTTTTGGGCCTCTTCGACCGTCTTGGGCCGTTAGAAGCCTGAGTATGCCGTCTTGGGTCGGCAGAAGCCTGACTACATGAGACGTTAAGAAAGCTTAAACAACCGAATGACTACTTCTATACATGTTTAAGGTCGCTTTTGGGAGCCTTTGAGACCGACGTGGCTGCCGATAGAACAGAAGAAGCGAATCTCCTGGAAATGTAATTTTCTTCCAAAGAAATGCTGTTCTTTTGGCATTGGGGGACCTTCTCGGCGGCCTCTTGGATTGTCTAGAAGGAATCCTTTTGTACTTTTTTTGGCCCGTCTGGGGGCTCATTTCGGCAATTCCGGGTCTCTCTTGGCCCGTCATGGGGAGCTGAGCCCGTCTTGGGGCCCTCTCCGACCATGTACGGATCCTCCGGTGGCCCCCTCGGGCCCCCTGGGGACTCTCTTGGGTCGTCTTGGAGCTCTCTTGTGCGCTTGCAGCTCTCTTCAGGCCGTCTTGGGACCCTCTTGGGGGCTTCATGGGCCCATTTTGGGAGCCTCTGGGGCCGTCGCGGCCGCTGTTAGGACTGAGAAGCAAAAATCCTGGAAGTAGATGTTCTCCCATAGGAAATGCATGAATTTTGCCCTTGGGGGGCCTTCTCGGCGGCCTTTTGGACCGTCTTCAATGCCTTTGTGGCCATCTAGGCGCAGTCTTGGGCTGTCTTCGAGCGCTCGTGGCCCGTCTGGAGGCTATGTCAGTGCGCTCGTCAGCCACCTTCCAGACAACCTGGGGCGCTTTGGCAGCCTCTTCGGCCAGCTTGGGGGCCTCTCAAAGGTTCTGGGGCCCTTCTGGGCCCTCTCAGAGCCCTCACGGACCCCCCAGACCCCCATGCAAACCAGAGGCGCTGTTTCCGGGCCCTCCCCTGGCCTACTCCGCTACATATATATATATATAGATACACACATACATACATACATACATACCTACCTACCTACCTACCTACCTACCTACATACATACATACATACATACACATACATACATACATACATACGTACGTACATACATACATACATACATACATATATGTATAGATGAACAAAAATAAGTGAGGGGGGCAAACGGTTTCACACTGTCCCAAGGGCGTGGCTGAAATGGGTTCCAATGGTGTTGACTCTTGTGACTGTTTTGCTTTGATTTGTTTTGTTTTACTTTGTCGTTGTCCCACGCGCGACCCACCCTGCGACCCACCCGCGACCCACCCGCGATCCACCCGCGAACCACCTCGCGACCCACCCCGCGACCCACCCGCGACCCACCCGCGACCCACCCGCGACCCACCCGCGACCCACCCGCGACCCACCCGCGACCCACCCGCGACCCAACCCGCGACCCACCCGCGACCCACCCGCGACCCAACCCGCGACCCACCCGCGACCCACCCCGCGACCCACTCGCGACCCACCCCGCGACCCGCCCGCGACCCACCCCGCGCCCGGCCCCATCATTCTTAACCTCAACTGCGGGGTCTTACATATATTTGGCCTACTTGAAGTCTTCTTGAGGTCCTCTTCGGCCGTCTCGGGGCGCTCTTCGACCGTCCTGAAGCCATCCGAAGCCATCTTGGACCGCTCTTGGGCGGTCTTGAGCTCTCTTGGAGCGCTCGTGGCCGTCTTGAATCCCTCCTGGACCTCTCTTGGGCCGTCTTGGGGGAATCTTATGGGGAATTGGGGCTTTGGCCCTCTTTGGGGCCCTCATCGGCCCTCCTTGAAGCCTCCTGTGGCTCTCTTGGGGCTCTCCTGCGAGCCTCTTGGGGTTCCTTTGTGCCTCTCTTGAACTGCCCTGGGGCTCTCTTTGGCCGTCTTCTTGGGGCCCACTTGGGCCGCCTTGGGGTTGGGGCTCTCTTGGTAACCTCCTGGGTCGTCTTGGGTCGATCTCGGAGGCCCCCGGAGCCGTCTTCGGTCGATCTTAGCCCGAGAAGGCGAGAAGCTAACACTCAACCAAGACTCGCAAGAACATCAATGTGTTTTGCTTCCTCAGGCCGTCACGAGGGTCCCCTTAGGAGCCCCTTGGGGCGTCTTGAAAATTTCCTAGGCCCTCTTGGGGGGGCCTGGGGCCGCCTCGGGACCGTGTCGGGGCCCTCCGTCTTTGGCCCACCTTGGGCTGCCTTGGGGCTCTCTTTGACCGTCTTTGGGCCGTCCTGGGGCCCTCTCGGGAGCCTCCCGGACCGTCTTGGGGCAATCTCGGGGGCTCCCAGAGCCGTCGTTGGCCGATCTCGGCCCGAAACAACTCCACAAGCCAATCGAACACCTTCAGCACACCAGTGTTCCTGCCTCTTCAGGCCATCCGTCTCAGGGGTCTTCTTGGGAGCTTCTTGGTGTGTCCTGGGACCGTTTTGGGCCATCCTGGGGTACCTGCGCCGTCTTCGGGCCGTCTTGGGAGACTCCCATGGCCGTCTTGGGACAATCTCGGTGACCCCCAGAGCCGTCTCCGGCCGACCTTGTGCAGAAAAGGCGACAACCCAACACCCAATCAACAACCTTAGGAACGTTTATGTGCTTTGTCTCCACAGGCCGTCTTAGGGGGTCCTCTTAGAAGCCTCTTGGGGCCACCTTTGGAGGCTTGGGCCGTCTTGGGGCCCTCTTGGGGCCTCTCTGGGGCGGCCTCCCATGGCCCTCCTGGGTTCTCTTGGGGGCCTCCTCGGGCTGTCTTTGGCATCTTTCTGGGCTGTCTGAGGGCTATGTGTGGCCGTTTGGGGCCCTCTTGAGCCGTCTTGGGGCCTCTCGGGAGCGTTCTGGGCCGTGTTGGGGCAATCCCGGAGGGCCTCAGAGACATCTTCGGCCGATGTGGGGCAGAAAAATAGAGAATCCACACATGAGCGAACAGCCTACATGAAAGCAATGCCTCCTCAGGGCGTCTTGGGGGTCCTCTTGGGCTGTCTTGGGGGCCTCTTTGGCCGTCCTGAGGCCATTGGAGGCCATCTTGGAACGCCCTTGGGCGGTCTTGAGCTCTCTTGGAACGATCTTTGGCCGTCTTGAAGCCAACCCCTCCCAAGAGGGCTTCACCCCACCAAAACGTCATCACACATAGCCCGAGAGGGCTCATAGCACCGTGAGCTCCTAGGAGCCTTGGCGTTGAGAGCTTGTTATGTCACCGTTCGCTCTTGGGAGCCGTGGCGTTAAGAGCTTTTTCACGTCACCGTTCGCTCTTGGGAGCCTTGGCGTTGAGAGCTCTTCCTCTTGGGGGGCCTCTTGAGACGCTCTTTGAAACATCTTGGAGGCCTTTGGGGGTCTGTTGGGGGCCTTTTTGGCCGTCTGGGGGGCCTCTTGGAGGCCTCCGGGGCCGTCTTGGTGCCTTCTCCTTGGGGCCTCTTCGCATGCTCTTGGAGGCATCCCAGGGGCCTCTTGGGGGTCTCTTAGGGGCCAGCGGTGCGGGGCAAGGAATATGGTGCAAGCTGTATTGTGAAAGCAAAGCGGGGCAGCGCTTATGGCGATATATGCCACAAGCACGAAAGCAATACGTCGCAATCGCATGGCTTTCGGCTCTCTCGCCTCTGCGGGATCCAATGGGCTGCTCAGGCCCCGAGGTGGCCCAAAGAGGGCCAAGGAGCCCCGAGATACCCCCAAGATCCTGCAAGAGGGCCCCAAGAGGGCCCAAGAAAGCGGGCCAGCCTTGTCAGTCATTCTACTTTCCCCCGCAGGGCTTCGAGAGGCTCTGAAATGGCGCCAGTAAGGCCACAAGCTGGTCCAAGACAGCCCCATGGACTTTACCTATGAATCAGGATAGTCGAAGGAAGCCACTAGGTTCAACGTATTGCGCACATTCATTAAGTCAACAGCTTCGTAAAGTGATTTGGGCCTTCTCGACCTTGCGGGCTCCATTTTGCTCTTCAGGCACAGAGATGGCCCCAAGAGATCTCCTAGACTCAACAAGAGGGCCCCAATAGGTTTTCGACAGGGACCCAAAAAGGCTCCACATCTGCCTAAGAGCGCGGGTCAACCGGGGTCAAGTCCCAATATCCCCCGGGGTAGCCACAATAGAGTCCAAGAAAATCCAGTGCACTGCAGCGATGGGTCAATATTGCTAAATCTGTTCCCCTCGGAAGCTCCCAAAAAGGTAAACATCCTTGAGCAACAATTATGTGCTTTTCTTCTCGGGCCTTCTCGCATTTGTGGGTCACGAGGGCTTCGAAGAAGCCTGCAGGACCCCCGAACTCCGCAAGAGGGTCCAGAGAGGGCTGCAAGACAGCTCCAAAAGTGCCCAAGACCGACCGAAGTTGCCCAAGAGCAGGGACTAATTTGTGGCCTGTACCGAAATGACTCTAAGGCGTCTCCTGGAGGCCTCCATGTGGTCCAAAATGGCTCGGGACGGCCCTGACAAGCCAGAAATCTCACATAGACCCCTGACAAATCATTCAATAGGTTCCCGACAACTCCCTTAGGGGCTCGAACAGCGTAAGCGTCTGCGTGTGTTTACTGAATTTTGCCTGCTGGTGTTCTCGAGCTTCGATGGCGAAGCTCGGGTGGGGGCGTGCTCTGCTTAGTGTTTCCCTCCATGTGCCCAGTCACTGGTTCTTCCCCACACGAGCTTCGCAGAGCAGTGTGTGTGTGTGTGTGTGTGTGCGTGTGTGAGTGTGTGGGTGTGTGGAAACCACCACTACCCAGCAATGTCAACCTCCTCACGAACACAACGAATCAGAGCAATGATGCAAGATGGGCCAGTGGAATGCGCGAAGCGGATGCATAAAAGCACACCCCGTGCGTGAAAAGCGAGACCTTGAAGCACGCGTGGCACGAGAGATCGGCGCCATCAGCGCCAGCACTCTGGAACTTGCACGTCCTCACGAGCGCAAACGGAGACAGCGAGAACGACTGATCCCGACCCCTGTATTCGAAGCAGAAGCCGTTGATGTAGAGCGACACGTTCACCTTGGCCTCGAGCTCTTCGTCTGCCGACAACAGCCAGAGCTGGCCTTCGCGTAGGGGCACGCCGTGGACGGGCTGGTCCAGGGCGGCGTCGTACGCCAGCACTCCATCGACGCAAGAAGGACCGTTCGGCAAATCGTAGGGCCCCTCTGCCGCCTCTGGGATGTCGAAACCAGGCGCCTGACTCCGCACGAAGGGCTCGAAGTCGATTTCGTCCCTCCTACTAGTCCCACAGACATACGTGCAACTCGCCACGATAGGTTCCATCAACCTCCTGCACCTGCGAAATTTGACCACTGCCGAGGCTGGGCATGCACCGGGATTCTGACACCTGGCCGCCCTGGGGCAGACATCGGGGAACGTGGATGCTCCTTAACCCGAAAGGCTATGGACAGATGAGAGGGAAGAAGTGGTGGGGGAACAGAAGCCGCGGGATCAGGGTCAACAGTAGTAAAGAATAAGAAATGCATGAGGATCAGGACCAAGATTGGGATGGTTTTCGATAGTTATGATGAGGGGAAGGAGGATGAGGAGGACTAGGAGGAGGATGAGGAGGGCGATGAAGAGCATGGGCACCATCAAGCATACACTGAATTGTGTATTCACGCTGTCGGGAAACTATGCTTATCGCTTCATTTCAGGATTCATTGCCACCTGTATCTATTTCTTGATGTGGGCGGGATCCAACTGCTACGTGAAATTCGTCCCGAGCCCCCGGGCACTGGCGTGAGATATGAGCGCACCTCCCCAAACCCTGCACCAGGGGGTGGTCAAGATTCTCGTTGTGCAGGAGCTCGCGCGGGTACAGCCAGGTGGGCATGTGGACGCATGCAAATACCACTAGGCTCTCCAGTACGGCATCCACGCACCTGCCAGGGGACCTTCCTCAGCCAGGCCATGACCAGGGTGCGCCAGGGCCAATGATAGTTCCAAGAAGCCCTCAACATGCCCTCGAGAAACTTCCAAGAGGGCACACAACGGCACGGCAGACCAGCACGACTCACGAACAAAGCAAACCAACCGACGCCTAAACTTCTTACGCGTTCCGGAAGTGCACCCCGGGAACCGAGATGGGTCATGATAACGAGCCTCGTCGGGAGAGCTTGGTGGAAGAACAAAGTTCAGGAAGGTCCTAGGGCGTCCATGTTATACCCTGGCAGAGCAATATCATACATATTGATGCGCCATGTTGGAATGATCCTGGAACCATCTCAATGCAAATCATGCATGGTGGCTAACATTTTCGCAGGCATCTGTATTAACTTCTGCATTGGACCGCAGGGGTTGAATAGTGCCAAGGACCAAGTGGGGGCAACAACAATATCAGAGTAAGCCCAGTAACCCGAGCAGACTCGGTCATCGACTTGAGAATCGCAGCGAAACCATCCCAGATCGGTCCTTCAAAAGACCCCACCCAGGGGACGGGTGGACCCCATCCATGCCGTTCGCTGGCACTCATTCGACACAATTTGCTTGCTCGGTCCACTCGTAATGCATGGGGACTACTCACCAAGAAGAACTGACATAGCTGGATGAAGATGACGCAGAGTCGCCCTGGTGCGCACGCTTACCTACACGGAGTCTGTGGCAGCCACATCTCCACCGACGCGCGTCTACTGAGCAACGAGATGCAAGCATGCAAGGTCACGTTCCTGCCCACCCTTCCTGACTATCACCTCATTTCTTCTGCTACCTCCGCCTCCTCCACCCCTCTGGCCCTCAAGCCACTGTCCACCTTGTCCCTCTTGCAGCTTCTCCTGATTTGGTGCCTGCTTCCTCCCCTTCATCCTTTGCCCTGCCCTCTGCCTCCCTTCCAGACCATCCTCTTTTTGTTCACTAGTTCCCTCCTACCTCCATGCCGTTTCCAGCACTTGTCCAACTCGCACCGACCCTCTCTCTGGAGATGTCGACGAGTGAATCTGCCGCCGAGAAGTGCTGGAAAGACCAACCCTCTGGGCTTCTCTCATGGGCGTCCCCCTAAATCCAACTTGGCTTGCATTTCTGTCTCCGACGCTTCCAGTCTGTATTCGACTGTGTCCTAGTTTGCTCAAACCATCGCCTTCAACAATCCAACGTCGGCCCTTTTGATTCCAGGACTTCGCCCCAATCCAGCGAAACAACATGTTGCCCCCCTGGCGAGCCACAATGAGACACCCCTCACAAAGGCCATCGGAATCCTTGCACGTGTGTGGTCCACAGCTTTCCGAGAATTCCTGCAAGGTCTTCCCCTGCTTGTGGGCTCCTCGAGGAACCTCTGTGGCTGCAAAAAGCTACATGAGGAAACTGTAGGACCTTCGAACACTTTTAGTAGCAATTCGATGCACCCTTCGAATACCCTCGCGACTCAGGACCTGAACTAAACGAATCATACTATTACAAATGGTACTCTTCTTCTTCTTCTTCTTCTTCTTAATATTCTTATTTTTCTTATCCATGCTACTAGCACTAAGAAGAAACATGAGAACGTGCGGGTTTCGAATAACGCTTCCCAAAATGACGTCATCGTCCCAAATGGCTTGCCGTGTCCCTGGTGGAATGCGCCAGAGAAAGCTCGAAATCACGTAAATGGAGCAACCACCGCTAGAATACGTGTGGACCTTTTGCAAAACTCTTCTTAGTACTTGGGCGCTCCTGTTGCTGCTGCCGTTGCCCCTCCTCTGCCTATTCTTTCCTCCCTCCCTTCGGCGGTGCGCGAAAAAGGGGGTGGCGCGAGGGGGCAGCTTTCTAGGAAGGCAAGGGCCCTCCTAAGAACACGCCCGAGAAGCCTCCAAGCCCTTTTGTAAAACCCTCTTCTCGTACGGCCGCCCTTCCCGCCCCACCACCTTCTGCGCTCCGCCAACTGCCCTCTCGTCTCTCCCCCGTCTTCTCTGCACGTGCACATTATGAATGCTACTCTCCTCTCTGCCCCGACCCCGCGCGGAAAATGTTCGGCCTTCTCCGCGTACTGCTGCTTTCGCACAGGGTTTCATTCTTCCTGTTAGGTTTCTTTTTGCACTTCGATGCTTTTCGGTGCTTCAGAATGGTGCTCCTGGTGCAGCGTGGGCCCCCGTTGCGGACGGGAGCTGTGCTCTCGTCGTTCAGGATCGTGCTCTCACCGCAGCGCGGGCCGCTTTTCTGGATCCACACCCTCTTTCGCCGTGGTCGCCCCCCCTCTCTTCCCCTGCCTTCCCGTGGTTGTCCTACTGCCCCCTCATCCTCCCTCATCCTCCCGCTGCTGCTTGTCCACGTCCTAATCCTCCCTCACCCTCCTCATTCTCCTTATTCTCCTCCTGCTCATTCTCCTGCTCGCCCGCCGCCTCCTCCTCCCCCTCCTATGTGCGCAGCTCCCACTCTTTCTGATTGCGCATAGCACGTTGAGGGTAATTTTTCAAGTTCCAGGTCGGCTATGACACGCGTGACGTCACGCTGTCCATCGCAAAACCATCGAAACCCAAGAAAGCCAGGGCACCCTGGAAGCAAACAGGGTGTTTCTTGGCATGGGTCTCCACTGCATGAGACCCCAGGAGCGACTCAAAACGCTGGCATCTCACCGGAAGAGAAGGACGCACCACGACAAGGGGGGGCAACGCACGGGAGGGGTCGATCCACCAGACCGCGGGGGACGGCACGAAGGGGGGTGGAGGGGGCCAAACCACTTGGGAGCGACCGGGGAGCCCGAATGGCGTACCGAGGGGGGAGATCTTTGGCGCGGTGCTCAGCCTGAAAGGCTTTAGACAAAGCCCTCGGCTGCACCAGCTCCTCCTCCGAAGGCGTCGCTCCTCGAGCTTCGATGGCCAAGAAACAGGCCCTGACCGAGGCAAATGCTTATAGCAAAACGACAGGTCCACGAAAATCCCTTGCGCACGTTGCAGCACGATCCCGCCGCAAGCTTACAGGGTGGCTGGCCGATCTTGTGAAATCTGATGAAGGGAGAACGCATCGAAGCCTCCGTGGTTGCCAGGAGTTCGCAATCCCTGTGCTCGAAGCGAAGAGAGGGAGGCCCAGAGGTGAGGGGTTCAGGCAGGGTGCCCATAGCGACCTGCCTACGCAGGGGGTCCGCCTGCACAGTGGCCGATTGTACCAAAGCCCTGCGACGCGCCCTGTCCGTTCTTTGGCGAAATACCTACCTCCGCAAAGTAAAGCACCCGCGGGCGCAATCACCGATCGTTTTGTCGGGCCACAGCGGGCGCCCGCTCGGCCGTCGTCGAGTTTGCGTGGGCGCGTTCGCGCGGTCAGCGTTTAATCTATGGTTTTGTGGCGGCCAGCCGTGTCGCCAGAGTGTCCCGCGACGGGGGTCGTTCGGCCGACGGCGCCATGGCGCCGAGCTCCGCAAAATGAGCATCCCGGGGATGGGGAGACACGGGACGCAACCCGAAAGAGAGCAGGCCCCCCTGATCAGAGGGGCGTTCGTCAGGCACAAAGGCCCGCGGCTCGATGAAACACGATCCCTGACAAGCGCACCCCAACATCGATCACGGAGCAGCCCGACGTCCAACAGCACACGGAGGAAAGGCGGAGAGGAGGCGAAGAGACGGGGAAGGCAACGGAGTCTGCCGATTCGCGGAGCCTCTCCAACGGCCCTCCGGTGTGCCTGGCAGGTATTCCGTGGCACCCGAAAAGCACGCCTGCTCAGCCGTGCCCGCAAGGGAGGCTCTGTACTCTCCGATCAATGGCCACGTGGGTGGTGTGCAGCTCGGTGTGCAGGCCAGCCGTGCGCTGAGGCCACGTACCCGCAGCATAAGTGGTGTTCTCTCGGCCAAGGGGAAAGGAAACACTTTTTGGTCGGCGGGGCGAGGGCGAACCTCTTCCGCTAAAAGCTAGGCGGGCTACGCACAGCTTTCATTAGGGAGACAGGGCACAGGCAGGCGGGGCCTCAGGCGGCCGGAGTGGGCGGGGCCCAGGGTGCAGGCGGTGCCGAAGAGCTTGCACAGGAAAAAGTACGCCGCGGACAGGGACCGGAAGCGAAGATCCGGAGGGTGGGGAAAGGGAAACACGTGGCACCACAACTTCACGAATGGGCCCGCTGGTCCCAAGGTTCGATATGCATCGAAGGTGAAGCACCGAGGCACGCCCTCCCGAATTCTGGATGACGTCCCCCTAGCACTTCTGAGTGCGAACACTTTTAACAGTGATTCTACCAGTCAAATGAAACCGAGGGAAATATCAAGCCACATTCGGCCGACCTGCGAGCAACAGACCCAACGCCTCGGAAACATATAAGAATCTTCGTCTTGTTGACATTCGGCGATCATCCTCCGTACATGCAAGCGTGGTGACAGCACCAAGCA